GGGGGGGGTTGGGCGAGGGCACGTCTTGGTGTCGCAGCCGTAAGACCATAGGTAACAGTAGGGAATGGTTGTAGGGTCGGTGGTCCTTCCCTAAGGCCTTTGGTGTGGGTCCCACGCGTCCTTTATTATTATTATTATTTTTTTAATTTTAAAATATTAGTACGACATGACGGCAGAGAGAGAGATGCATGGACTTTTGCGACGCTACTTTCGGTTAACCACGCGTTTCAGTGACATGTCGGTTTTTTTAGTTTTTTTTTGTCACCCAAATGGAAAATATTTAATACTTTTATCAATATATTTAATATCTATTCAAATTTTTATTAATATATATATATATATACATATATTTTTAATAGTGAATTTTTTTAATATAAAAAGATAAAATGGTTTTTAAAATAGAAAAAAAATATTGTTAATATTATTGATATAAATATTAGTTTTAAAGTTATGTTTTTATTGAAATAAATAATTTTAATATTATTTTGTTTTAATTAAGCAATATTATTATATCTAGTTTGAAAATATTTTTTAAAAAATTAGTTTTTAATGTACGGAAATTTTCAATTTCCTAAATAATTAAATTGATCCCAAGCATCTCATGTGACATTGTCATACGATAACTAATTACCAATCAAAGCATACCTTTACTCAATTATGACCCAAAATGCATTGTTTAGGTCAAATGCCACATCCCAACATACCATTACTGTATCCACGTCTTCTCACGGATTTCAAATTTGAGCTCTGTATCGTGTAAGGTTTCTTTGATTTAGACATGACATGATATATATGATACATATTCATGTTGAACTTCACACATTTTATACGTTGCATCAACTCATAGCCAAACAAATTGATTTTAATCATAACGGACGTTGTTTTTTGTTAGAAGACTTGAACATTCATGTCGGCCAGGTTCGTAGCATACTTTTGACGTGTGTGTTCAGATAAGCATCCAAACAACCCTATAAAAAAAATTATTTCATGATATTAATTCTTAACAAATTATTTAGAATCCAATAGGTATTATCTTATCACAATTATTGCTATAAAATTACGTTACAAATCATATTATTTTACCCCATTTTATAACAAATTAAAAATAGCCACGTCATCCAACTTAAATAACGAGGAATATTGTAATTTTATTTATTTATATTATATTAATAATTTTAAAAAAATTATTTTAATTCATGAAAGCACATAAATATATATATATATATATATATATATATATATATATATATATATATATATATCCAAACTACCGAGTTTAAAATGACAATTTTTACATTATTTATTAAAATATGTGTTTGGCTTGACTCCCACATTATACCTAATATAATCTCGATTAATTTTTAAAATATTATTATTTTTAGAAGATTATAATATGATTATTAAAAATAAATATAACTCAAACATACGTGACATTTTTTAATTCAATATTTTATATTGTTGACGACGTTAATAAATCATTAAAAATGA